CTGGGAGGACGGTGCTCTTCTGCTTTCAGCCATGGCCCCTGAGAGGAAAGCCTCCCGGCAGCTGGCTTTATAAGCACTTCCCCAGGCCAGGCCCTGTGCTGAGTGCTGAGTACACACTGTTTCATTTGATCTTCACAATAACCCTGTTAGGTGGGGATTTTTCTCTGCATTTTGCAGGTGAAGAGACTGGGGCACAGGGAGGCTAAGTGCTGGAGGGCACATAGCTTTTATGACAGAACTGGGGTTCAGTGGCATAATGCAATGATGCGAGGCAGTCTGACTCTGGCGCCCACACTCACTGACCTCAGCGGCCCAAGTCTGGAAGCCCAGGGCACCCTTCCCAGTGTCAACGCAGGGGAAGTCCGCCACTCTGCTCCACTTCCACAAGGGACTTCAGGCCCTTCCTGCCAGAGTGTCTGATTCTTTAAGAGAAACTAGAAATGTGCACTTCTATGTGAAATCTCCAGGCTATTAAATGTTGGCAATTAATTAAACATTTTTTAAAATGCTGGTAGGGCCAACACACACATCTGGGGATTGACCCTTCCCACATTCAGTGCTCTGTAAACAGGTTGAGGTGCTGCCCTGGGAGGCCCTGCTCCCAAATTTTGCCCAGGAGAAAAAAAATGGACATGGAGTTAAAAGAAAAAGCCTATTGTTTTCCTCTGCAGGGTATTAAGCTCAGCTGATGACCTGGGCACATCCATGGCAGCATGTCTCGATGGCCTCGAGCCAAACCGCTGCACACAGGGGGCCTTCACTGAACAGCATCCCCTCGCTCGCCTCTTCCACAAAACCTTATGCTTCCCAAGGGTAGGGCCACGCCTGCCTATAACCCAGCAGAGGTGCCCCATAAATGCTAAATGGTGCAGAGGGTGAATGAGGCCTCTTGACCTCAGAGGGGTTCCTTGACTTCTCTAAACTTCAATTTTCTCATCTGTACGATGGGGAGAACCTCAGAGTGTTGTCAGGAGGATTCGGTGGCATAATGCAATGAAGGTACCCGGCCTGGTGAACAGAAATGGACAGGTCACATCACCTGTGATCTGCTTAGCACTTTTGCCACAGTGACTCATGTAACAACTGGGAAACTGAGGCCCACAGAAATGGTGCAACTGACTCATTTCTACTCAGGGCTGGAACTGGATGCTATTCTTCCTTCAGCTGTGCCCCATGGTCGGCTTGGGGTCCCTGTACTGCCTCCCTCTGTTCTGGCTGTTTCTTTCAGATTTCCACCCTCACTGGCGTGACCTATGAGCACGTGAGCAAGAGGCCGGCCTGAGTAAGCAGGCAGGGCTCCAAGGAGGCTAACAAGCCAACAAAGCTGGCCGTGAACAGACATTTTGCTCACTCCAGAACCTCTAACTTTGTTTTCTGGTGTCGTGGGGCAGTGTCTGGCTGGGTGAGGGTGGAAACCCCTGAGGATGGCTACATAAGCCAAACCTTGGCCCTGGGATCCCTGTGGGTTCTGTGTCACAGCAGAGGGAGACTTGAATGTGGACTGAATACTCTGGAGCCCCTGGGAAAAGCCAGAGGCAGGGCTCAAGAAGCTCAGTGGGCACACTTCTGTAGACCCCTCACCCCCACTCCCTCGGATGCCACCACTCTGTGGGTGGGGACAATCCTTTAAAGAGACAAAAGACTTCACTGGAGTCTATGTGTGCACCTGACCCCTACCTTCCTGGTGTGTGTAGGAGCTAGGAATGGCACTCCCAGAAAAGGCAAAGGGCTCCAAGGCCGAGCAGACACAAGATGGACACACTCGTGGCTTAGCCGGAAAGGTGTGGCCCTGGCTCTGTGGAGTCTTCCCTTGGGCCTCAGTTTCCCTACTGGTACAAAGCGGGGCCAGGAGGACCAATGAGGGACTGAGAAGAAATGACAGTCTATGAGATGGCAAAGGGGCAATGGGAGTGACAGGAAGGGACTAGGATGTCAAAGTTTGGACTAGAAGCTTGGGAGAAACTTCAGAAGGCTGTGGTGGGCTGGGAAAGGTGGTCAGAGGCTCACTCTGATCCCTGGTAGGTGCCTGGAGCCGACTCAGGAAGGATTCTGGGGTAGCATCTGGACTTCGCAGACATCCCTGCCTGATTGCTGTGTCTGCCCAGGGTTTGGGGACAGGAAAGGAAGGCCTACCGGCCCAGACAAAATAATCCGCAACCCAGAGCAAGGAACGGGCCTTTTTTTTAATTCTCTTCTTTCCTGGGAGTGTTGCCACATCTGGGTGCCACCTTGCCTTCTGCCATTTTTTTTTTTTTTTCTGTATGACAATTCACATATTTATACTGCAATGAAAACTTTACATCACTTCTAAATACGAAAAGCCAGTATCATTTGCCATAAATAAAACTGCTAAAAAAGTTGAAACTGAAAGATGTTGACTTCAAGTTGGATTCTGTTGCCTGCCCAAAGCCCAGGGGCTGAGACCTCCCTTTGTGAAAAGAGTCAGAGAGATTTAAAGATACAGTAGCATCAGATGGGAAACTTTCTCCTTGACTCATTAAAATTACTGTAAAGTTACTGAACAGAGAAGAATGTACAGTAGTTTCCCCTTACTCATGGAGAATATATTCCAAGACCCCCAGGGGATGCCTGAAACCATGGATAGTACTGAACTCTATATACATAACTATGATAAAGTTTAATTTATAAATTAGGCACAGTGAGATTAACAAAAACTAATAATAAAGTAGAACGATTATAATAATATACTGTAATAGAAGTTATATGAATATGGTCTCTCTCTCAAAGTCTCTCACTGTGGATTGTGCTCACCCTTGCTGCGATGACGTGAGATGACACAGTGCCGATGTGACGAGCCGAGATGAGGTGAATGACACAGGCCGTGACGTAGCGTCAGGCTACGGCAACATGTAGCAAGCACTTCTGGCGTCAATTGCCAGCACCACTGCTCTTGTGCTTTTGGGCCACCAGTAAGTAAAATAAAGGTTATTTGAACACAAGTACTAGGGGATCGTGACAGAAAACCTGATCGCTATGAAAGCTGCTAACGGCTACGCTAACGGGAAGTGTAGGCAGCGTGGTGACGCCGGGCAAAGGGCTGATTCACGTCCAGGGCGAGAGCCCGGGGGTCGCGCGAGATTTCACTGGGCTCCTCGGAAAGGCCTGCGATTTAAACTTATACGATCGTTTATTTTTGAATTTTCCATTTACTGTTTTCGGACTGCAGTTGACCATGGGTAACCAAAACTGCGGATAAGGAACTACTGTACTAACTATAAGGGTTGAATTATCTAAATTACCGTGAATATGCAGGTCCCATGCATGGGGCATAACGTTTGCTGAATGCCGTGCACTGGGGCTGGCACACGGCAGGTGTTGAACGAGTACTACATGACTAAGGTCTTTGTAGCCGGTGTAATCTATAACCTTTCACTCTTGGGGGCCAGCCTCAGCCTGGACGGAGGGCACAGCATAGCCCATTGGCTGTTCACTTCTTGCCTCCTTCCACATTCTGCTCTGAAACTTGTCTTTCTAAGAACAGCACTCGACCTCCCCCAAACCCACCCATTCACTCACCAAGCCAGGACCCCATGAATTCCATCATTATGCCAAGACTTATTGCTAATTAAGAGAACTAGGTAAGCATTAAATTAAACTAGCAGTGTTGCTGTTTCCCCTCCAGACTGAATAATTACTTATAATGAACTTGGATAATAAGTCTCTAAATAACAGTTAACCATAATTGGACTGAAAATTGAGAGAGGAGAAGAAGAGAGAGAAGGAGAAGAAAAGAAGAAGGGGGTTTGTTTTTACTTTGGAAACAAACTGATTCAAGAACAAATTCAAAATATTGAGACATTCTTAAGCCAGTGTTGTTATAGAGTCCCAGACTCGCAGAATAGTAGCACCTCACAGCTCACCTAGTTTAAACTCTGAATTTCACAGATAGGGCAACCAAGGCTCAGAGACGGAAAGAAATTCATCTAAAGTCAGGCAACTGGAGTCTCCGAGAGTGAGTCTCCGAGAGTGATGTGCAGTTGGGCACCACGGGCTGATGGAGGCTATAGTTTCTCAGTGCAGCTTATGAGGGTCAACGGAGTAAGGTGAGCTGGAGTAAAGTGTCCACTTGGCTGACATGTTGGCAGAGAGGCTTCCTCAGCCAGCAGAAGGAACGGTGGTTAAGAGCTTCGACTCCGGAGTGGCTTTGCTAGGGTTAGAATCCCTCTTCTTTCACCCAGAGGCTGTGTCACCTTGGGGTAAGTTCATCCATTCCTGTGAGCCTCAGTTTCCTTACCTGTAAATGGGGATAACTGCACTTACCTAATACAGCTGTCGGACCACAAACTCACTAAATAGCAGCCACTGCCACCAGAACCACCACCTCCACTGATTGTCCCCACCATCGTTCTCAAGCCAGTGTGATGAAAGGGTTAGGAGTGCCTCTCTGACTTGTGAGGCATGTGGGCAAGCTGCTGGATTGCTCAGTCTTATTTTGTCCACAGAGGAGTTGCAAGGATAAAGGGTAAAAAAAAAATAGTGGCTTCCAGAAAGTTAAGAGGAGCTTCATCATTTTGCTGTGCTGTTCGAGATGCTGAAGTGACACTCCACTCGGTTCAGGTGCCCTTTACAGAGGCTCTTCATGACCTTCACCCTGACCCTTGGGAGCCATCTCTTCCACCTGCCAGGGCAACTGCTTCCCTATCCTGCCAAGCTCATCTAGTGACCCGGGAGCTTCTTGAAGCATTTTTAAACCCGCCACTAGGTGGCACTCCACCACCCATCTGTCGCCCCAGGGACACCAGAGTGTGAGTGTATGTTGGACAGGGTGGGGCAAAGGCAGTGACCGGGCCTTGGTGCAGGCGTGTTATGTTTCATCTAGGAGCGACAAGGCATTGGCGGCCACAAGGTCCTCAGTGAGGCATATCTAAGTGTGAAACACACTCCCACCACTCGCCCACGGTGAGACTTTGGGCCTCTCTGAACCTTAGTGTCCTCATCTGGAAAATGGTGATAACAACTCTAGCTCATGGCGGTGATATGAGGGCGAAGCGAGAATAGGGAATGAGAAAGGAGGAGGAAAGTGTCAAATACGGGGCCTGGAGCATAGTAAGTGCTCACTCAACAGCTACTAAGGGCCCTTCTTGGTTGGTTCTGCTGGTGAGAATGGGCTCACACAGGGTCAGAGCACTCAGAGCAGGGAGAACTGCAGAGCCGGCTGTGCGTGTGCTTCTCCTGGGGGCCTGCTACAAGGACAGCCCAGGCCCCACCCCCGTCTTGCCAAACAGAGCTCTTTCGGTACAAAGACCAGGGAGCTGTCACTGCGAAGTGCTCCCCAGCCAGGCATGACCTTGGAGGCTATTCAAGTCTCAGCGCTCCCATTTTACAGATAAAAAAATTGAGATCTAGAAAAGAGAAATGACCTGTCCAGGGCCACAGGGCCAGGGAGCAGTAGCAGGCCTGACTTCCCGTGTACCCTGCCTGTTGTGTCTGGCAAGAGCAGGGGCCTGAAGCACTGGTCAGAGCTGGCCCAGCAAAAGCCTGACCACTCGAGGTCTTCCTTTAAAACTAGAGCTGGGTTGGAGGGAGGTGAAGCTCAGCGGCTCATTTGAGCCCTCAAAGGGAGGAATGTGCTTATTTATAATATTCCTCAAGAACTCTGAATAATGACACCATATATTCCATGCTTTCTTACCACACACCTGAAGTGAAAGCTGACAGCCTTCCTGACTTACAAACGAGGAGACAGAGGTTCAGAGTGGAGAGGTGGCTTTTCTCAAGGTCATCTAGCTAAGAGCAGACAAACTCAGACCTTGCACTTTGCAGGCCTGTAGACTAGAAACTACAAGCTCCATCCCAAGAACAATTCTAACCTACAATGTGTTTTGTTGGTCTTCTATGTTGTTAAAAGTTTTTAAATATTTTTAAATTAAATGAAAAATTAGATTTCCTAGAAAGTGTAGACTTCCAGTTTTTCTGGAAATCTGATGGTTCAGCAACACGGAGCTTGCTTAGCTTATATCCGTGAAAGGTATTATTGGCCAGAGCTGGGTAGAAGCCATGTCCTCTAAAGGGACACTGGCTTCGACACAGTCCCTACCACCTCTCACTGTCTCGATCACCCACTTGGATTCACTATGTTACCTGCCTGGTCCTGGTGGGCATTTGGACTTGAGATTCCTGTCAAATGCTATGGCCTTTCTGCTGAAATTCAAGTCACAAAGGTCTTCCCTGTGGAACAGAGAATGAGGGAACGAGGGCTGGTTAAGATTCTTTTCCAGGCCCTGGGTACCAGGGACTGCCAGAGCCAGCCCAGAGGTGGGGTCCCTCCCAGGGGATGCTCCAGGGGAGCCCCAAACCAGTCCCAGATCAACACCTTCACAGATGGAGCTCAGGGAACCCCTCCCAGAATGGAGTCTTTTGGGGGCAGACAGATGGAGTCGTAAATCACATTAGCCCATGGCAGATGTGCAAGAAGCTATGGTTCTGCGTTTCTGTCTGCTGGTGAGCACACTCTGGGAGAGAACGCCTGCCCCTCTGCGCATGAACTCCAGGCAACTCTCCTATGAACCCATATCCATCATTCTGTCATGTCTTCCGACCAGGTGAGCGGACGGCTATGAAGTCTATCACTGATTCAAAAGCCTTGATAGAGGCACCACTGGGCAGCAGGACAGCTCCAGACTGCCTGGGTTTGAAGTGTGGCTCCTTCCTTCACCACTGCTGTCTTTTGGCATATAACCTGTCCGTGCCTCATCGTTTTCTGATCTGTAAAATACAGCTAATAATAGTTCCTACCTTGTCATCGGGTTACGAGGATGATTATAGGAAATGTCAGCCAAGTCCCCGGCATGGTGCTTTATACACAGTAAATGCTCAACAAATGCCACCTCCTATGATTAGCGCTACCCTCACCAGATGATATTCTGTATACTCCACGGGGGGTAGGTAGCTTAGAGCACAACCGTCAAACCAAGTAAACAAATTAACAAGATCATTTCAGAAGCTTTTAACAGCTCTGAAGAAGACAAAAGCGGGAGTGGCAGAGTGACTGTGGGTATTAAGGAGACGTCTTGGGGAGGTGACAGGTGAGCCGAGGTTTCTAAACTTCGGTATTGTCGTCATTTGGGGCTAGATAATTCTGTACTGTGGGGGCTGTGTGTCCTGTGCATTGTAGGGTGCTAAGCAGTCTCCTTGGCCTGTACGTGCTAAATGCCAGTCAGGCCCCTCCCCTCCAATTATGACAACCAAAAATATCTCCAGACATTGCCACATGTCTCCTGGGGAACAAAAA